GGGGGCAAAACGCCAATGGTGCATTTATGGCGCACGCCATTTGTGCCATTGATAACACTGATTTGCGGAAACCAAGACCTTGCAAAAAAGAAGACAGGCGTGTGTACCACACATGTGGGGGCCTGTTTAAGGTCGTATAAGAATTTTCGCAACTTGAAAACATAGTGTTGTCACTGCGGGTTTATGTAATCCGACAGTTGCTCCATAAAAATTTCTTTGTCCACAGCGTCATGTCGAAAGGCATTACTCACATCCAACTAATGAAGAGGCTAGGCATGATGAAGTGTGTAGGAGAGAATAAGACGTATAGTTTGCTATTTGACAATGAGGCTGAATGTCTGCTTGGAAATGGTAATCAATGTCATACTCCAAATGATAACCTTTGGCCACAAGACGAGCCTTATACCATTAAATAGATCTATCAGTGTTCCCTTTGATGTGATACACCCACTTACAACCAATCGAAGTGCGATTCTTAGAATGTGGTACCAAATCCTAAGTACGCTATTCATTTAAAGTTATAGATTCCTCATCCATAGCTTGACAACAAAGCCTACTTTTGGAGCCTTGGTGGTTGGTGCTAGGTTCAGTGTTGGAGAAGTATTATCAAGATGGGTGATGATATATATTTTGGGTTTGAATATCCCGGATTTGGCACAAGTTTGTATGGGGTAAGTGTTAATGGTGGTATTTGGGTGGGGATGTATGATTTGAGAAGGAATTGGGTTGCTGGTGATTGGTTGGTCGACCGTGGGTGAGGGACGGTCTAGGGGTCTAGTAGAAGTTTGACTCCGTTCGGAAGAGAGGCCAGACGACATAACGTTAGTCGACCGTTGAAGAAGAGACAATGTTTTTGCCAATCGAAAAAAGGCTAGGTTTGAGGAAGAATCCTATCCCGATACCATGATACAATTTGATAATAATCGATCCTATTAAATAATGAAGGTTGAATCCATATATATAGAAAATATAAGAGATACTTCTAATCATAGTGGAATAACAATTGTAGAAGCAATAGAATAAAGAAGGTAATTAAAATAATAATATTTTTTTCTATTACGGATAAACGAGGATCGTGAGAAACTCAATGACAAGTTAGAGTTGTGGTGGCAGTCTATGAAATCGAAAGGCTTCAAAATTGACCACGACTAAGACTGAGTGCTTGGAATGTGGCTTCGGGTGATAGAAATGGATGTGGAAGTTAAGAGCTTTTATGACTATTTATGTTGGAATAAATGGCATCTTGATTCATTAGAACTTGGGTAGATCAGCGAATTTCTTCATGAGTTATCTAATAAGAAAGCGCCAAGTTGTTTCAAGCGCTAAATCAATTCTGACACTCAAAAAATTAGTTGGACAAGCATATTCACATCTTTTACAACCTACACAGTCTTTAACTCTTAGAGCTAAAGCAATTTAGCCTTACATCTATCCCATGCTATCGTTTCTAAAACATAGGTAGGGTAGGCTCGAACACATTTTGTGCTACAACCATTCGTATTTGATAGAAAAGGATCCCATGATCCTGACCCAATCTTATCTGGATTGCAAATCCTAAATTTGTCTATGAGGGGCGGATCAAATCGTATCAGTGTCTATAATTGATTTGTTCTCTGTAATACTAATCGATAGGAGCTCATTTCACACCTAGTGCATAGTCTTGATTTAGTCATTCGAGCGGATGGGGATGTTCACCGTATTGGAGCCGCGCGGGCTAAATGAAAGCTCGCTTGAGAAGTCTCGTGTGATAAGAAGATTTCAACATAGTTAAAAGGTAAGTTTTATTTGACCGTAGTTAGACCAACTATGCTTTATGATGTAGGGTGTTGGGCTAATATGAAAGTTCACGTACGTCATGTGGCAGAAATGCAGATGTAACAATGAATTTGTGGGCGAAGAGGTTGGATAGGATTCAAAATTGAGGTTTTCTAGGGATTCCAGGGTGACAGCCGCAATTGTGGAGGATAAGCTATGAGAGGCTACGTTGAGATGGTTTGGTCACGTGAAATGGCATAGCATTGAGGTCCCATTGCAAAAATGCGAGAAGAATCAAATATTTTAAAAAATGGGCTAGGGCCGAAACACCAAAAAATCTCGACCGTTCTAACCCGGCCCACGCTAATTTGTGGCTCATAGTTTAAATGAAGCTTAAAATCTTGACTTTTGACGTATGTTGTGCCATTTTTTCATGTTTCCTTATTATTTTGGCTTTTTAAAAATATTCTTAAAAAATATATCATTTTTTTCATTACTTTGCGGCAAGTCAAAGTGAGTTGCATCCCCTTATGTATTTTATATTTTTATATCAAACTTCAGATAATGACAAAGTAGGACAATCAGAACTCGTTCTGTTTCATCCTGATCCTGAATATTAAGTGATAAAGAGGGATAAGCTTGTGACCCGAACCATTTTGAACTGTTTGAAAAAAAACGGGACAAAACGCAGGACAGTATAAAACCTGAACGGTCCTGGCCCGTGCTCACCCTACTTTGGAATTATAGGGAGTGTGTTGTTATCGCTCTACATTTAAATTTTACAAAGGTTTGCCACAAAAACCAAATATTCACACTAATAGGGCTTATTCTTTTGGGTTGGAATTTTAACTTCCATCTTTTTCTAACTCCGTCCAATTTCTTTCAATTCTTTTTAATTTATTCCAACTCTTTCTAGTTTCTTCCAACAATGACTTAAAAAAGGTATTTGCATATGATGAATATACAATAAGTGTCAATAACATCATTTATCTAAGTTTATGACATGCCATCTCAAACACGAACAAAGATGAAATTTTATTTTATCCAAAATTTGTTTTCTTACATTTTTATTTGAGTGATCATTTAATAGAGTGAATTTTTTAATAATTTAATTCTTCCAGCATTTTCTAACTTCTTCCATTCTTTTTCTAAATCCTTGGAGTTTCTTCCAATATCCAACTTTAGAATTGTAACAAAAAATAACATGCCCTAATGGAACAAAAACATTAGTATATGCTTAAAGCAATTATTGATCTAGGGTCAGGATCTGATTAGGAAACTATCATTTGAAAATTCTTTTGTGAGAGTTAAGATATGTAATGCAACCATTGCCATTGGTGAGATATTATCATGTGTTCCAGCTGATTTTTCCTATATTCACAGTGTGAAGGGGATATAGGTCTGGCTTCTAACATATTCTGGATGTTCACAACGGGTCCTAAATATAGAAGGGCCCTGTTAATAAAATTATGACCCTATTGCTTTCAAAATTTAAATTAATACAATATTAATTATTACTTTGTATATTTATTGCAATGAAAATCTGAAGTAAAAAATATCCAAATAAAAGTTTACATAAAAAGAAACATCATATTTACATATTTATGATGTGTTTAGTGGTAGAAAAATATTTTTGGTTGAAAGTATTTTCTCCCAATAGAGGTAAAACAATTTCCACCCCCAACCACCTGCCACCCCTTCCTCTGCCCTACATACACTACCATCCTCATCCACCCCACCTAATCACCCCCTCCTCACCCTCTTATCCTCCCCTCGTCAACACCCTGCCCCGTCCA